CTGCAACTTGCGAAAAAAACCGAAACCTGAGAAAGGGGTCGTGGCGCAGGCAGCTGGTTTAATTAGTTCCCGTGTCGCTTCCAAGAACCCGCTATAGGAGGTCAATGGCAAACGCTTCTGGAAAGATTTTGTTGCCCCAAGAGCCAAAACCACCGGCTCAATTGCTCGTTTGTTGAGCCAGTCGACGTGCCCCGTCCAAGAACCCATGGCTCTCAGGCCAAGGGAAGCGCTTGGGTTTTGTTTGCGTACTCACACAACCACTGGTGGCTCTCTGTCAGATGAAAGCGACAGAAAGCAGAATGAAAAGAAAACAAATGAAAGCCGCATGATCGCCACTGGGCCAGTCGACGGGGTTCTCTGCCAAGAACCCGTGGCTCGAGCTGTCAGTGTGTGACGGCATCAGCATGAAGGCATGAAAGCAGAATAAAAGCAAATCCTCCCTTTCTCAACATTGGCCTTGTTGACGATCTTGGGCGTGACCCCATACAACTTCGTGATGCAAACGATGCAACCTTTTTGCCTTCCGTCATCTGCGTCACCAAATACGCCAAATTGGCTGCTCCAAAAGACTAGGACCCCCACCAGGCCTTAATGAAAAAGCTACTTTTGGCCGCTCTCCCCCACACCCCCATTATCCACAGCTTTCGCAGGAACAACTTCAGCCTAACCTATCGGTTGGCTTTCGTAACTTAAAACGAAACATCTTCCAACATTTCACGCAAGACACAATCCCATCGTTGATCTGAGCGCCGTATCTAAGCGCCGGGCCAACTTCATCTCTCAAATCCTGTGGCAAAGTTGGCGCCTTGAGGTTGATGAAGTTCCCTCTACTGTGCGGTCACAGTCTTTCAGTCCGGGTTTCTGGGATTTTTGCGCGCGTTGTTTTTGGGTTCTACGCGTTTGCAAGTTTGACCACCTCAGACTGGAACTTTTGTATGTGTGTTCGGGTTCTGTGGGCTCACGGGCAACCTATAGCACGATGCTCACTAGCAGCCCAAAGATGTAGATGTTTTCAGAAACCAAACCAAAACTGTCCAACGAAAGTACTGCTTGATGCAGAACGAACTCCAACTGGCTACCAGCGTGATGAAAGAAGGCAACATCCAAACCAGAGCGTCAAAGGTTAAGTTCGGACTTCCGTGGCGCCTGTCTTCAAAGTTTTGGCGCCTTACTCATTTAACGGTCTCCAGGCTATTGATACGTCAACCTATGCACCGGTCACACAGCTTCG